TATATTAGTGCTAATCTGAAAATATACAACAAAATTTTGTCCAACGTCATACTATAATTTGCAGCTTGTCCATGAGGTAGAAACAGCCATGCTAGAGAGTGATACTCAGCTGGGGGTGTATCTAGCCTACGAGACACAAGAGCTTTTAGACATATATGTGTCTGTGCGAACAGCAACAAACACAGACTCAGCGACTTCTGCTGCTGCTGGTATGTAAATTTTGTTCTGTTAAAATGCTGAATATTAATATTATCAATATCGATATATGAAAATGGCTTTGATTTTCAGATGCTATGTGGTGTCTGTATTTTATTAATTTATTATTTTTTTCAGCCCTTTTGAGATCACTATCTTCAGATGGATATCAGATAGTAGTTGGCGGTAGTCAGTCAAAGCTGATGTCAGACATGTCAATAGCAAATATCCAAGTAAGTTTTAATCTGTTGCATTTGGGATTGTGTGAGGTATGTGAGGGAATGTTGATATATAGGGAGAAACTTTTAAGATGTAGGCAATGATAATAATTTGATACATATTGATGACTTGAATTTGCATAAAGTTCCATTGTTTATGATTATAATTTTTTTTTCATGTTTACAGGGGAAACTAAGTGGCTATGGCGTGGAGGAACAACTGCCAACAGTAGCAGTTGTGGCTCACTATGATGCTTTTGGAGCTGCACCAGTAAGGGCTTAATTACCTGTAGAGCTATAGTTTGGATTAAGGAAGGCTATTTCAATGTCGCATACATATGTTTTTATTGTAATATATATGTCTGCTTGTATCAATGTGTTTTTATCAATGCAAATGGATGTGCAGATTACAATGATTTTTGTTCAGAAATGATGCTTGTAAACTATGCATAAATGCATATATTCCTCCAATGCTTTACAGTACTTGGGTTTTATGGCTATTTTCTCAATGTTTCAGTTGCACACTTCTCGCAATATCACTTATTTACAATTCATTCACAGTGGACTAACTGTTTTTAAAATTGATAGTTATTGTTTACAGGTGTTAATCATAATCTTACCTTTTAAAATCTATTACAGGAGCTGTCTTGGGGAAGTGACAGCAATGGCTCTGGGGTTGTAATTCTTCTAGAGTTAGCGCGCATTCTCTCCCGCCTGTACGCCTCACCTCGCACACATCCTCGCCTTAACATAGCCTTCCTACTCTCAGGAGGTGGCTACATTAACTACCAGGTAGGATTCAACATATAAACTGTAAATTGAGTTGATATTTGGTGTTTAATTACTTTAATGTGCTGCCTTTCTTGATTAGATTGCTTACACTTGTTTAATACCAATTAGTTGTTGATGAAGCATTGGATATACATTTTATTACATTTTATTGTATGTATCCTTGAATACTTTTTGCAGGGCTCAAAGAGATTCCTAGAAGATCACTTAGATGCCTCTGATTCACCTCTCCTCTCTGAAACCCACTACACTATGTGTCTTGATTCACTGGGTGCTGGAGACAACATTAGGATGCATGTTTCCAAGAAACCAAAGGATAACTCTCCAGCACATATTTTCTTCCAGGTAAGCAGGAACAGATCACAGTAATATTTGAAATATATGTTGATTTGTGGGACACTAGATAGTCGTTTGATGGTTAATCAAAGTATGCAGAAATTTAGATAGATGGATAATTATTTAAACCTTTACAGGGTCTTGAAGAAATTGGTACAAAATCAGGTATTAAGGTGGAAATGGTCCACAGGAAAATCAACCTCCAGGAAGATACTCAGGCCTGGGAGCATGAGAAGTACAGCATGCGTAGACTGCCTGCTTTCACTGTTTCTAGGTTGCCAGTAAGTAATAAGATAATGGAGTGACATTTGTACTTAGCAACTTCATTACTTGTTATATTAAGATGAGCATTACAGATTTGCAGAAATCTCAAATTTTTGTAATCATTGTCTGTGATACATGTGAAGTGTACCAAGAACACAAATATGTAATGACACATCATGTTTAAGCATATAGCCATTAGTTTCAGCATTATTATATTTCTGCAGTAGAAAATATATGCATATTTGAACAGGAAAAGTGTGATTCCTCAAACCCAGATCTTGTTTGTAATCTATGCATGATGTGAATTGATCTGCTCAACTTTTCTTTCCCATTTTCTATCTGTTTCTTATTACATTTTGTTTTGATGAAAATTTTTATGTAAACATTGAAAGTTTTGTATTGTCAATAGCAATTCAAATGATTTTCAGATTGTATAAATTTATCAACAAAGAATTGAGTATATGAATATACTTTTCAGCATCCCAAAACTGGTGAACGGGGAAGCATCCTGGACACGCCAGACAGTATTGATGTAGACGCCCTTACCCGCAACACAGCTGTGATTGCAACTTCTCTTCTACAACACATATATAACACATCAGTGGATGAAATATTTTCAGAGGGTTTGGTAAGTGAATTTCCAAGTCCATCTTTTCTTTTTTTGAAATAAGGATGTAAATTACTCTCAAGGTAATGATTAATTAGAAGTTAGTCATGATTCTAAATGGTGGCTTGGAGTGTATAGATTACCCATAGGCCTCACTTATTGCTAATTACTAATTAAACAGAAAGCGTCATGACTGTACATATTGTCAATTAAATTTCTACTTTATATAACTCTGATATAGTCAGAGGCTGCAATTAACAAGTCTTTGACATCATTGTAATACTTTCTAATCAATTTATCATCTTAACAGGAGGTTACCAGAGAGAGTGTGCAGTCATGGTTAGACTTGATGAGCTCCCAGCCAAGATCTCCACAGCTGCTTTCAGGGAAGAATAACCCACTAGTCTCTACCCTTCACCAAGTACTGTCCAGGTAAATGCATAAATACTATTTAAAAGAGAAAGATTGTTAATGAGGTTTTTGTATTTGGTATACTATTTATCTAAAATGGAAACGGCAGTTATACTTTGTGTTTCAGCATTGATTTTACTTTCTTGGGCTGCTGAATCTACAGTTACAAGCCTTAAGGTTACCATCCCTAAAAGTAGTAGGGGTAATCTTGTTTAAAAAATTTATGGAAGTTCTCTCGGGAGAGCGATGTCCCCATAAAAAAGAAATGTTCTCTTCCTCATACATTTCTTATGTATAGCTATTGGGCAACGTTATTTCATATTTTCCAATGGAAAAAAATGGCATAAACAGTGATGATGACTGAAGAGATTGATGTTGGGGACTTTTGAAATTTTCCTTAAAGCTTATATATATATTTTAAGAAATTAATGAAAAAAATTCCCTCACCAGTTTCTGTGCATTTTTATAAGCTTTCAGACGATAAAAAGAAAAAGAAAAAAAAGGATAAAAGCTGTTCGCAAATAGCAGTATGTGAGATTTATTATTATTTTATTTGTACAGATGTGTACATGTGTACATTAAGTTTATCTAAAAATGGGAAACCATATATAATGGGCAATTTAAACAAATCTCCACCCCCCACCCCCACAAAAGGAAAAAAAAAATCTGTTGCCAATTCCATCACATTTTCACTAAGTTTCTATTGTTATAAAGAGATCTTAGATCAAATAAAAATTGTTCGAGAATAGCAGTACAAAAGCTAAAAAATATCAGTTTGTGGAAGAGAAAGAAATAAATTGTAAATATTGCTGTTCATTTACTAAATCTTTCCTACATTGAAAGTATATTATATTACCAGGAAAGCTGCACTCATTTATCTTTCAAATGTATTTTGTAGCATGAAGAAATCTTGTTTCCTTACCTACAACAAACATAAACAAGGTACTTTTGTGGATGCTGACCTCACCAATATGACCCATAAATAAATGCAAGAATTGCTAGTCACAGAGTAATGGTTTCTAACATCTGTGTCCTTGCATACACTTGCAGTTCTATAGCAATGTGTATGTAGACATGTGCATAGGTGTACATGTGCGCTTGTTTATAAAAATGTGCATATATGTTCATGTTGATGTAAATGTATACACTTTTATGTATAACTGTGTATATGTGGGTGTAAATGTGTAATATATCTGTGCACATGTGTAGATGTCTGCAGATATGATATTAAACTGGTTAGAAAAACAAGCAGTATGTAGTCACTGAGTGACCTTAATTTTTTTTAATTTGTTAGAAATAACAGTTTAGAAAGCATTGACTTTTTGCCACAGTTTGCTTTCCTTGAACACTTATTTTCATATTTATAAACCTATATCAAGCAAGTTTATGTAGGTATTTGTTAATTTATATGGATTTTTTATCTTTTTTTCAGTTGTATATATTTAGTAAAAAGTAGTTGCACTATTACCGGTTTGTTTCATTGATTAGTTGGGGTCCAAGGTGTAGGTGGGTGGTGACAAGACTGCAACTCTCACCAGGCGTGTACAGGACTACGTAGTAGGCTGCCCTTAAGTTGTGTTGGTTTATTTTTCTAGATAAAGACTCGCAACTACTTATACATTATTGTCAGATTCAAAAGTTACATATGTAATGTTATGTCAAAATGGAATCGCATCTGCATTTTTTACAATAAAGAAATGAGAAATTATTTTGATGAATTTTAGTTTTTCTTTATTTTTCTAGTTGTAAATCCTTTACTTTGGGAGGAATCTTTTATTATAAGACATGCTTGTCCTCATGACCCATTTTGGTAGGTATTGTCAAAAGAGAATAGACCAAAATATGAGCATTAGATTTATGTAAACGGCTGCTCTGGTGGGTTTCCAGCGCTTAGGCTGGGTACATGTGAACACTCGTGTGCAGTGACAAGACTGTATGCGTCCCCTTTGCAATGTTATTTTGTGTTTTATTTATTTTATTGCTCTTTTCCAATGTCCATATCTATCTTTTGATTGGCTTTATCCAGATGGTAATTGACTCTTTTCCTTGCACAGACTCCATATCATCTCTCTGTGGTAAGTAAATGAGTGCAAGAAAAAAGAATAGAAAAAATTATATATTGATATTTGTGTCATTTAAATTTTTTGTAATATTCAGTCATCTGGAATAGGATGCTGAGCATGAAAATGACGTCCCCCCTGGGGCCAGGGCATATCCAGTCATGGCTTACAGACATTACATACCTCACTCATTTATCAATGGCAATAATGCAAAAGTCCCTTCCTAAGCGCCAAATGAGTCTTAACCCACTTGCACTGGGTGTCACTCATATGTGACACCTGGAATATGGTCAATGGCCGGTTGTCCCACCAGTGTGACGCTAGATCGAAGTTTGCACTCTAACTTTGTCACCCTTTTGGCACGGGCCAATTTTGATACCGCCCTGAAACAGGTATTATCAGATTAATCACCCTCTAAGAGGTTTTCCACTTGTGGCTACTCTTTTCCTTCTCCCTGGCAGGTTCGCATCATCCAGCCCATGACCATTTTTTCCCATTTTCAAATCACCCTCCACCAAGCTTAGGGACCGGTCCACTAAGATTTATAGATATTGAAGGTGCTTATGCTGAAAAAGATATTAGATGGGAATGATTAGGCAGTTGGTATTGTTGTTGACATTTGAAACGCTCTTTTTTATTTAAGCTTTTGAATAATGTATTTCTGAATGAATTTCACAGATATACCAATGAAGCTCGTGTAACCTATGTAAAGGCAGACAAGAGGGATCCTGAGTGGGCTTTCTATGATGTAACGAAAACCACCATGGCTGCCTATGCCGTCAAGCCTGCTGCCTTCGATTTCCTTCTTACCTTGGCCATTCTAAGTTACTTGGGAGTGATCTATGTATTCCTACAGGTGAGAAACTTATTGAGACTGTATTTTTTATTTTATTCTGATACAATATGTGTGATAGGAATGTTACTGATATGTCCTTATTGTTTTCTTATGAGTATATATATTTTTTCAGTACTTCCCGAAGATCTATGTCATGATGGCCAGAATCACCTCTCCTCGCAAATCTAAGATTCATTAATTAGGTTCTGTTGTAAAATATGTTGTTAATGTCCTTATGCATTGACTTAAATGCAATCCAGTTGACTGTATGTATGTATGTATATCTTATGTTTATCTGTGTTTGATATTTCTACAAAATTTGTGTGAAATTTATGAGAGATATCTTCTTCCTCAATTTATACATGAAAATGTCTAAAGTATTGTTTTTCTTTTAAGTACCCCTGTTTTGAAACTGACTTTATTTTTAGATTTTTTTTTGTTTTAAGTTCTAATTTTATCCAGTTTGGTGTATGGAAAAGCTTGTCATGTTGGTGGGCGCTTGTCTCGGGCCAGCTAATGCTTTTCTGCTAGGAATCAAATGGTTACATGTTAACTGTATACCCAGTTGGGATGGCCCTATGTTTTAATTAGGGGCAAATCCTTTTTCAAGAGGAATGGAAATAAAAAGACATAAAATTAATTGTGATGCCAAAAATTAAGGGAGGATGTGTGAGAAGAGACCGGAATGTAGAAAGCTGATACATTTCATTAGCTAAAGTGATAGTTGAATGATAAAAAGCATACTTCAGGTTTGATCATTATATTATTACAAATGGAATTGACCTTGTTTTTGCATCTTGATTCCAGTGACATTTGCTTCCTTGAAAATAGTCACAAGATGCATTTTACATATATTATGTAACGTATACCATTGTCAGTATGAGTCATTGTTATACAAGCATGATGTGATATGTCATTGTTGCCAACTTTAGTGTTAAAAAAAAGGATTGTACACACTATCACAAAGAAAGCCAAATTTCTCCATATTCTGCAATGTGCTATATATCAAGTATTAGGTAAGAAGGCTGTCTTTGTGCATTCTAAAGTTAAAAGCATGAGAGAAGTTACAGGCAAAGGACTAGGTGATTTTGACACTTCATCATTAAGTGAGATGCATGTGGCATGTGGGATGCAAAATTAAGCTTTCGTAAGCTTTTGGGATTCATAATTGCAAGGAAGTTGCCTTGATTTGGATTTCCACTTTTTTATTTCTGTGAATGTATAAGCATATGAATACATGTGTGCATATGTATATCTATATATCTTTATATCTACATATCTATAT